AATAACATAATTTTTTTCCGGTGAATCACGCGGGTGAATGACTAGTTATAATTATAATGAAATGCTCTGTAGTTAATAATAATTCAATATTAAAAATATAATTTCAATAAAAATATACTCCATAATAAACATATGTTATTAATAATAATTTAACATAACGGTTAACATAATTATGTATATGTGTCTGTTAGGCAAGGATTCAATTCAAACGTCAAGCTCTCGGCGGCTCTGATGATATTAAAAATGTAAATTTGAATAAATATAAATACAACAATAACCAACAGGGTAAATTAGACTTTTAAAACAAACATGCAATAAACTTATATCAAGTATCTTTTTCATTTTCAGCTTATTGGCATCAATAAACTAAGCCAAAAATATATTTGCTAATCACACATATTAATTGTTTGACTGCCAACTATCATGTAATATGATAACATCTCAGTTATCATTCTAAACCGGTTACTATTCTAAAGGAGTGGTTATAGGTTCGAGCCCTGGTAGTGAAAGCATAGATTCATGAGTATTTTAAACAATATTAGTTGTTTGACCAATCAAACAAACTAAAGTTGATCAAGCAACCTAGACTTTGCCTAAAAAGTCATTTTTCAAAAATTTGTTTGGTTCACCTTACAAAGATGGTCATAGTCTATAACCCAATCCGCGCATGGTGGATTATTTATAAATTATGTACCTATACATAATATGTTTATTGCAGGTACAATTTGTAAAATTATACACAACGGTATATTATATTCGAAACTTTGATCACGCATTTGAAATTGTAATTGAAATTCAATCACATTACATGGTAGTTGGTGAAAAAAATTATATAAAAATATAATAAACCTTCTAAAAATAAGTATGTAATACAATAAAAATTAACCAGTAATAATATACGGAGTATTAAAAATGAACATGTATTAATGTGATCCACTTTGCAATATAGGTCATACTCTACAGTAAAATAATTGTTCTCTATGGACTTTTCTTCAAAACCTTAACCGCCACAAGGCTTCCATTGTGCAACTTCCCTTCATATACATAGTTAAAGCCTCCTTGAGTCCTTGATCAAGTCCATTCTTAAAGAAGTTTGTAACTTTCTTTAATTATGAATACCTGATGAATTTTTTAAGGATCGGATAAGGGGTCATGGCTCTTTTGAAACTCTGGTACATCTTGATAGTTCTTTATTTTAGTTGTCACGCCCTTGCAAGGACAAAAGAACATCTTCTTGGTAATACAGAGTAGTAGTATGAACATGAACGTAAGGATCAGTGTGGTCCTGCTTAAAACTGATCAAAGATAGTGTATGTAGAGGATATGGTTGTTAGTTGATGACAGTTACTTTAGTTTTACATGGAGGATAAAGTTAAAATATCAACAAATTAAAACTTACCTATCACTAGAATTACTTTAAGCATTTTCGTTCTCAGGGTGCTTTTTCCTGTATTCAATTTAAAAAAAGTAACTTATCAGTGCCCATCCTATTAGAGAATAAGATTTGGGAGTGTTTGTAGAACTCGAAAAGTAAAGTGGGAGAAGATTGATAAGGAGTTACCTTTTTGACATTGAAATTGATTGTGGATATCAACTGTGCATCTCCCACCTCCATAGTAACACTCATAACAAGCTTCTGAGACTTCAAAGTCTACTCCAAATTGAGCAGTTAACAGAGAATTTGGTTTCTTGATAATAGCTACTGGAGTTGGCAACAGAGCACAGCTAGCAGGAACACTACTACATCTCCCATAATTCTCTGGACGTTTATTATAGTACAAACTCAAACCTTCAATACAGTTGCTGCTATGCCTCTCATAATTGCAGATACTACCCTCATCTACACTCCCATTATTATTGCACTGCAAAAAGGTGGTGTTTGATTCGGAATAGCGGAACGTGATGGAAGGAGAATTCTGAAATGGGACGGTGTAGTTTAAGATCGAGCAATCATGGTGGTGGAAGAGTCTCTGAAGCTTCGAGTCTTCAAGGAAGATGGTTATGGCCTCCCCGCTTGTACTCACATTCTGAAGCTGATACCAATCTCCATCGGTTTCGAGCTGGACTGTGGGAGGTGTTGTATAGCAATTTACTACGACTAAGCCGCAATGAGGGTGCGTGTGTGGAGTGAAGGGGAAGTGCAGATAATCGATGTTTCCACAGGTGAATCGCCATGAGGCGATTCATCTTCTTCTCCATGACCAAAGTAAAAGTAAAAGGCCATGATTAAGGGAAGGAGAAAGAATAAACGAGGAATGAAGGGCAGAGCCATAGGAGCTGAGCTTTCTCCTACTCTAACAATGGAAGGCGAGAATTAAGCTAGGAAGAGGAGAATAGAACAGCGGATATAGACTTAAACGACCTTGACTTGAGGTCAACTGTGTTGCAAATTTCCACGGAATGTGACGAACTGGATGGCAGACCCAGTCGAACCTTGGACTTCCGAGTTTAGTCTTAGAAGATAGAAACGACAGATTAGAAGTTTCCTACTTTGTGCCCAACTTCTCATTTGGGTTGTTTGGTTTTTTTAATTAATCGACATGAATGACTATATTAGTGAACTAAAGTGGATAATGCTAAATATAAATGTGTATGTTACTCACCTGTACATAAATGCCAATACCCTGCTTATTAATTGCAATATATATATTGGATGACGCAGAAAATCTATGGCCACTACTCGAGGGTGTGTACTTGGTAGATCCTTTGCAATAGGTTCAAGTGTTCAACTGATAAAATATTAGTAATAACCAAACTCATGACCTTTAGATATGAAAAAATACTCCACCCACTCTGCCACATCTTTCGTGACTACATTGCATATATTTAGCTAGTGTGACTATAAAACAGCGTACCAATTTGCTCTTCCACTGTAACTCACAACATACTAATATAACTATGAACAAGATTGATCAACATACAGATTATATTTCAAAACGTGTTCTTTCAAGTCTTAGCATCATACGCAGTAATGAAAATATGTTGTTATGTATGAAAAGCAATACCATAGTGCACCAAAAAGTCAAGTACTAGGTAATATACACAGAAGATGATGAATGTTGTTCCTCAGATCTTGTGGAAGAGTAGAGGTAAGGCTGAGGTGGAATTTGTAAATATTCTAATTTACCTTCTAACATCTCCACTACCCTTGACATTGTTGGTCTAGTTGATGGATCAGTTTGTATGCACCACAAGCTAACTATTACCATCTTTCTTGCAAACTCATTCTCCTCTTCATTCATTACTCCATTCAATCCAAGCTCATCATTTAACACAAGCCGTGTGTAAATCCAATGTGGAAAGTATATTTTACTGTTGCGACTAACTCCAACATCAACATTCTTTCTTCCTCCAACCATTTCAAGAATCATCATCCCATAACTGTACACATCTGACTTCTGAGAGACTCCTCCAATGTTCCTACAAACAACTTCTGGAGCAATATATCCAATAGTTCCCCGTGCACCGTGGATTGACACAATGCTCTCTTGCTTGGTGCATAACTTAGCAAGACCAAAATCTGAAATTTTGGGAGTGAAGTCTTCATCTAGAAGAATATTGTGGGGCTTTATATCCAAGTGTAAAATTCGGGTGTTGCAACCACTATGCAAGTACTCTAACCCTCGAGCTATACCTATTGAAATTTTATATAACATGTTCCATTCCAACTGTCGACCCGTCAGAGATTTATTGTCATAAATGAACTTTTCAAGGGATCCATTAAACATGAACTCATAGACAAGAGCTCTTTTTCTACCTTCAAAGCAAAACCCAATAAGAGTGACAATATTAACATGAGAAGTCCTACTAATGCTTGCCACTTCATTGATGAATTCTTCCCCACTGGTTCTTAGTTCCTTCAAAACCTTAACTGCCACATAACATCCATTGTGCAACTTTCCCTTATACACCGAGCCAAAACCTCCTTGACCAAGTTCATCCTTGAAGGAGTTTGTCATTTTCTTTACTTTTGAATAACTGAATCTTTTTGGAGCAAGGCTTCCATGGTTTGCTAGAAACTCTTCAACACCTTGATAATTCTTTATTTCAGTTATCATATCCATGCATGCACAAAATGGCAATTTCTTGAGTCGCCAAACAATAAAGATAGCTAAACTTACAAGGCTCAGTCCTAAACCACCTGAAAGTACTGAAATGTAGACAAAGTAGGTGAATGCAGGTGGTTATTACTTTAATTTAGTTAATAGTTATACATGAGGGATATATATACAAAGTTCAATAACTTACCAGTGATTAGGACCAGTCTCAGCTTGCTCTTTCCTGTAGCCACGGTTAAATAAGCGAGAAAACATCAGGTACATGCCATTTTTATAAAAGAATTGTTATGATACACAAGATAGTAACATGCAACATTGATATCTGATGACTCTTGTACTAGAAGATTTGAATATAAATAGGAGGAAAATAAAGAGTTTCAGGACAAGTGTGTTTACCTTTTTTAGACTGAGATTCATTTTTGCTGTCTGTTGTACATTGAAATTCATTGTTGCTGTCTGCTCTACATATCCCTCCTCCATGGTAACAATCATAGCACGCAGGTGAGACTTCTAAGTAGATTCCGAATTGAGCAGTTATCAGAGCATTTGTTTGTTCGACAAGAATTGGAGATGGATACAGGGTACAGTTAGCCGCAGTATCACATTTGGGATTATTCTCACTTGTATACTTCAAACTAAAACTAAATCCTTCAGTAGAGTTGCATATTTCATAATTGCCGATATCATAAGCTTGACTGTGATTGCATTCCAAAAAGGGTTTTGCTTCCAAATTGCGGAATGTGATAGACTGGGAATTAGGAAATTGGAGGGTGTAGTTTAAATTTGAGTATTTACAGCTCTCAAGGAGTCCCTGAAGCTTCAAGTCTTCAAGGAATATAGTATTGGGAGCCAAGTCATTACTCACAAACTGATACCAATCTCCCCCCGTTCCCAACTGGAGTGTTGGAAGTGGTTTAGCATCACAATCCACCGCAATTAAACCACAATGAGGCTGCGTTTGTTGAGCAAAAGGAAACTCCAGATAACCCATACTTCCACACAGGAATCCCTTCGTACAGTTAGATGGCAACTCATCTTCTCCATCAGCAAAGTAAAAGAGCATTAAGGGAAAGAGAATGAATGGATGCCATTACACTACATGATATTTGACATATAATAGTAGTAACTTAATTGATCTACAATAGTAACTTTATGAACCTACATGATATTTTTATGAAATGTAGTAATGTTTTATTAGCCTGTAGTAGTAATTTTATAAACATGCTATAGTGACTTCAATAACTTTATGTAGTGATTTTATGAAACTTTAGGTTCATTAAAAGAAAAAATTAAAATATCAATATATGTGTTATTTAATGATCTTAATTAGCGCTTTTTAATGACATTTTATATAATTATATATTAGTTTTACTTCCACAAGAAGAAAAACAAATTTAAGTTAGAAAAAATTAATAGAGTATTAAGTATGAATTGGTTTCATGTTATTATGTACACATTAGCAGATGATATAAAGTTATTGATTACACATTATAGTACTTTGAAATAGAGGATTAAGGTCAGTGAGAGTTCACCACTTTCAACTCAAAACATTAGGTACATGCCATTTTTATTAAAGAATTGGTTACGATACACAGCAACATTAATATCTGACTAACTCTTGTACTAGAAGATTTGAATATAAAGGGGAGGAAAATAATGAGACAAGCAAAGGATGAGTTATGAGGACAAGATCAGAGTGTTTACCTTTTGCACAATGAAATTTATTTTTGCTGTCTTCTATACATTGCCCTCCTCCTTGGTAACACTCATTGCAAGTTTGTGAGACTTGGAATTCCAGTCCAAATTGAGCAGTAGTTAACACAGTATTTGTTTGTTTAACAAGGATTGGAGTTGGATACAGGGTACAGTTAGCAGCTTCACATTTGGGATTCTGTGGAGACAAGGGATGTTTATAGTTCAAACTAAAACTAAATCCTTGAGTACAGTTATACCTTTCATAATTGCCCATATCATCATCAGCTTCACTGTCAGTGCATTTCAAAAACTGGGGGTTCAATTCCTTTGCTTCCAAATTGTGGAGTGTGATAGAAGGAGAATACGGGAATTGGAGGGTGTAGTTTAAATTTGAGTAATTAGGAGGGTCCTCAAGGAGTCTCTGAAGCTTTAAGTCTCCAAGGAAGATCACATAGTCACCCCAGACAGGAGATGGTTTCACATGCTGAAGCGGATACCAATCTCCCCCCGTTTCCAACTGGAGTGTTGGAGGTGTTGCAGAACAATTTACTACGACTAACCCACAATGAGGCTGCGTGTGTTGAGCAAAAGGGAACTCCAGATAACCCATACTTGATCCACAGAAGAATCGGTTCGTACAATTAGATGCCAAAAACTCATCTTCTCCATGAGCAAAGTATAAAAAGAGCATTAAGGTAAAGAGAAGGAAGAAACTAGAAGGATTAAAGAGTAGACCCATACCAGCTTTCTTCTTCTCCTTCTCTCAAACAATGGAAGAAGGAAGAGAATTAAAGCAGCAGAAAGACTTAAAAGGTCGAGCTTGACTTGAGGTCAGCAGTACTGTGTTGCATGCATATTTCCACACGATAGATGTAACCGCAGGGCTGAAAGAGTAGATTCACTACTTCAACTTCTGTCCATGACTTTAGAAGCTACAAACAGCAAACAAGGAAGGAAATTGCCACTAAATTTCCAAGTTTGACTACTGATTACTGATTACTGATTAGCAGCACAATGAAAATATATGTACTGTACATAATGCCCCTTCTTGAATGGCTCTTGCATTTTTTGTGAGCAAGAAATTAAGTCCTAAATTATTAGTGATAAATCTTCTTATTGGTAAAGTCAACACAAAAATATGAAGGATCTGTACGTAAAAGCAAATCAAACAATTCATTTCTCTTTCATGTGGCCATACCAGCAGTATAAAACCAAACCAAAAAACACATACTCAGTGTTGCAAAAATCCCACCTAGCCACCAATTAATCAACTACTAAGCGCTAGACGCTGGCCGGCAGCCAAGCGACCAAGTTGGTCACCTAGGCGCTGACTAGGTTGCCTAGTCGGCCGATTAGCTTTTGTTCTCTTCTTTTTTAAATGGATTATTTCACCCAAAATAACATCGTTTTGAGTAAAATAACCCTAAATTGTTAAAACTCTACATGTTTTTTAAATTAATATTTAATAATTTAGTATTAACTATTAAAGTCCGGAGTATTGAATAGGTTATAATTATCAAATCTTAAAAATTTTAAACAAATTTTAATCGCCGCCTAGGCGCTAGGCGCCCTCGAGCGTTCGAGGAGCAACCTAGCGATTTTTTCAAATATACACACACTTGTGTTGTGTGTATATATATATATATATATATATATATATATATATATATATATATATATATATATATATATATATATGAGTGTAATTCTGTGAGACCACCCTTGTAGATAAGATCATGAGGTTGCATCCTAAAATAGGACATAATTAATGTATAGGGGTGACATAGTATTTTAGTTTATTGTTTTAATTGGATTATAATTGCCAAGCAATAATTTTCATAATTATATGAATTATAATCATGGCAGGTCTCAAAAAAAAAAAAAAAAAAAAAAAAAACAGATTTTAGTCGCATACAATAAACGATGGTGGTACCGGAGAACACATCAATGGAAGACACAAATTCTGATGATGAGTATGCTCTAATGTAAGGTGTACCCTGATCCATGGTATAATTGTAAAATTATACCGTATATTATAGTTCACATCGCAAGGTAAACTACTTATATGTGTTCATATGTTACTTTTAGATAGTATACTAAAAATAAACATATATAAAAAATATAATGAACCTACAAACAATAAGTATGTAATACAGTAAAAACAAACCATAATGTATTAAAAATAACATGTATCAATGTGGTTCACTATGCAATATAGGTCATACTCTACAACGGTAAAACAACTATTCTCTATGGGCTTTTAGTTCCTTCAAAACCTTAACCGCCACAAGGCTTCCATTGTGCAACTTCCCTTCATATATAGAGTCAAAGCCTCCTTGAGTCCTTGATCAAATCCATTCTTAAAGAATTTTTTAAGGATAAGGGGCTATGGCTCTTTTTGAAAACTCTGGTACATCTTGATAGTTCTTTACTTTAGTTGTCTCGCCCTTGCAAGGACAAATGAACAACTTCTTGGTAATACAGAGTAGTAGGACGAACATGAATGTAAGGATCAGTGTGGTCCTGCTTAAAACTGATCAAAGATAGTGTATGTGGTTGTTAGTTGATGATAGTTACTTCAGTTTTACATGAAGGATAAAAGCTAAAATATTAACAAAAACTTACCTGTCACTAGAATTACTTTAAGCATTTTCGTTCTCATGGTGCTTTTTCCTGTATTCATTTTAAATAAGTGAAATATAAGGTTAGGTACTTAGATTCCAATCCCTTTTTATATATTATTATATTATTGTGACAAGCAAATTACAGTTAAGAATATAATGAAAGTAGGAACTCGAAAAATAAACTGGGAAAAGATTGATAAGGAGTTACCTTTTTGACATTGAAATTGATTGTGGATATCAACTGTGCATCTACCACCTCCATAGTAACACTCATAACAAGCTTCTGAGACTTCAAAATCTATTCCAAATTGAGCAGTTACCAAACCATTTGTTTTGTTAATAATAATTGGAGTTGGCAACAGAGCACAGCTAGCAGGAACACTACGACATCTCCCATAATTCTCTGGACGTTTATAGTACAAACTCAGACCTTCAATACAGTTGCTGCTATGCCTCTCATAATTGCAGATACTACCTTCATCTACACTCCCATTATTATTGCATTGCAAAAAAGTCGTGTTTGATTTGGAATAGCGGAACGTGATGGAAGGAGAATTCTGAAATGGGACGGTGTAGTTTAAGATTGAGCCATCATGGCGGTGGAAGAGTCTCTGAAGCTTCGAGTCTTCAAGGAAGATGGTTTTGGGCTTCACATTCTGAAGCTGATACCATTCTCCATCGGTTTCAAGCTGGACTGTGGGAGGTGTTGTATAGCAATTTACTACCACTAAGCCGCAATGAGGGTGCGTGTGTGGAGTGAAGGGGAAGTGCAGATAATCGATGTTTCCACAGGTGAATCGCTTGGGACAATTTGATAGGGGCGATTCATCTTCTTCTCCATGGGCAAAGTAAAAGGCCATGATTAAGGGAAGTAGAAAGAATAAACGAGGAATAAAGGGTTGAGCCATAGGAGCTGAGCTTTCTCCTTGTCTAACAATGGAAGGGAGAATTAAGGAAGAGGCCGGAGAACAGAACATCGGATAGACTAAAACGACCTTAGCTTGACTTGAGGTCAACTGTTTTGCAAATTTCCACGGAGTGTAATTAACTGGATGGCTGACCCAGTCGAACCTTGGACTTCCGAGTTTAGTCTAGAAGATAGAAACAACAGATTAGAAGTTTCCTACTTTTTGCCCAACTTCTCATTTGGGTTGTTTGTTTTCTTAAAAACAGCATACCAATTTGCTCTTTCACTGTAACTCACAACATACTAATTTAACTATGAACAAGATTGATCAACATACAAATATATTTCAAAACTTGTTCTTTCAAGTCTTAGCATCATATAGTACAGTAATGAAAATATGTTGTTATGTATGAAAAGCATTAGTATAACATAGTGCACCAAAAAGTCAAGTACTAGGCAATATACACAGTAGGTGAGTGTTGTTCCTCAGATCTTGTGGGAGAGTAGAGGTAAGGTTGAGGTGGGATTTGTAAATATTCTACTTTACCTTCTAACATCTCCACCACCTTTGACATTGATGGTCTAGTTGATGGATCAGTTTGTATGCACCACAAGCTAACTATTACCATCTTTCTTACAAACTCATTCTCCTCTTCATTCATTACTCCATTCAATCCAAGCTCATCATCTAACACAACTCTTGTGTAAATCCAATGAGGAAAGTATATTTTACTATTGCGGCTAACTCCAACATCGACATTTCTTCTTCCTCCAACCATCTCAAGAACCATCATACCATAACTGTAGACATCTGATTTGTGAGAGACTCCTCCAATATTTTTGCAAACAACTTCTGGGGCAATATATCCAATAGTTCCTCGTGCACCAAAGATTGACACGGTGCTTTCTTGTTTGTTGCATAGCTTTGCTAGGCCAAAATCTGAAACTTTTGGAGAGAAGTTTTCATCTAAAAGAATATTATGGGGCTTTATATCCAAGTGTAGAATACGAGTGTTGCAGCCACGATGCAAGTACTCTAACCCTCGGGCTATACCTATTGATATTTCATATAACATTTTCCATCCCAGCTGACGACCCACAATAGATTTATTGTCATAAATGAATTTCTCAAGAGACCCATTAAGCATGAATTCATAAACAAGAGCTCTTTTTCTACCTTCAATGCAAAATCCAATCAGAGTGACAATATTAACATGAGAAGTCCTACTAATACTTGCCACCTCATTGATGAATTCTTCTCCACTAGCTCTTAATTCCTTCAAAACCTTAACTGCTACGAGACTTCCATTCCGCAATTTTCCTTTATACACAGAACCAAAACCTCCTTGACCAAGTTCATGTTTGAAGGAGTCTGTGATTTTCTTTATTTCTGTATAACTGAATCTTTTAAGTGCAAGGGGGCCATGACTTTCTAAAAATTCGGGTACATCTTCAATTTTCTTTATTTTAGTCAACCAATCTATGCAAGAGCGAAATGACAATTTCTTGGTAATACAAAGTAGTAGGATGAACATTAATATAAGGACCAGAATCACCCCTCCTGAAACTGAAGGTATAGTATAAGTATCAATGTCTCATTCCTTAAAAAATGTAAAGAATGTAGAATAATGTTTTGGTTAATGGTGGTTACTTTAGTTATACAAGAAGGATAAAGTTAAATATGGATAAAACTTACCCCACACTGGAAACAGTTTCAACTTTCTCTTTCTTCTTGTGGTGTTGTTTCCTGTGCTCAAGTAAAAACAGGGTGGGACAAAAAAATATTAATTACGCAGTATTAGACAAATTGGTGGGTACATTCAAAAAAAAAAAAAAGACAAATTGGTGGGTAGCTTAGGCCAAGAGAGCAATATTGGTTAGTACAAAGTCCCTAAATTGTAAGGAACTAATTTATAATGTAAAAATTTGTGTGAGACCGTCTCATGGATCTTTGTCCGCGAGATGAACCGGGTCAAAATAAAATGTAATATTTATAGTAGCAAATATAAAACTAAATCAGAAATAAAATGTTTATTACTTGTATGTGAAAATATAATATTTTTGATGAAAAAAGTAATACTTTTACATCAAAATATAAAAGTATTATATTTGTTCTCAAAAGTATTATGTTTTTTTTTTTTTAAAGTAACAAATATTTTTTACCCGAATTAATATTACATTTGCTAGTATAAGTATTACATCTGCATATAGTGACTCGATTTTACCCGATCCGTCTCACGAATAAGAATTCGTGAAACAGTTTCACACAAGTGTGACTCAATTTATAATATGTACGCATGCATCAATGTACATTACACAAATTGGTAATACAAAAATCATTGGATGTTGTAATAAAGTTCAATAATGTGGCACAATCTTGCAATATTAACAATTTAATTGTATAAAAAGTATAACCTAATCAATTAATTCATTGATATTAGAATCAAATTTGATTGCTTCTATTTCATATTTGAAATTATATAAAACATAATATAAATTAAATTATTGTACTCCCTCCGTCTCATTTTATGTGACTGGTTCGGTTAACGATGCTTGACTGAAGTTATTTTTAATCTAATTTTTCATAATATTAAGTTTTGTATTAGTATACAAAAATTATATATTTAAAAATTACACTAAAAGCACTATTAAACACAAAAAATTAAATTTAAAAATAGTAAAAAATACTAAAGAAAAATAAACAAAGAAGAAAGAATTGATTTAACTAATGAATACTAAGTATGACAGATAAAATGGGACAGGAGGAGTACATGATATCTATTTCACCAATCATACTAGCTATAGGTTAATTTGATAGCAGTTAATTAATTCCTTATGTATAATATATACCCACTTCATTACAATTTTTTTTAAAAATAGTTATATTAATTTTGGCCAAAGCCACCCAACCCCTGCATCAAGAGCTTAGCTCAATGGTTTTGTAGGCAGTATTCAGGAGAAGAGATTAAGGTCTGAACCTTGACGGCGATATTATTGGGATTATGTCCAAAGTGAGCAGATCTATTGTGCACACAGATATTTGGCCAGGACAACTATATGCAACCTTTGGCTAGGGTCACCATCCGGTCAATTGTCACCCCTACTCCCACAACTTTAATTGTATACCAGAAGGAAGATTGTAAATGCTTTGGAAGATCAGAAGAGTTGTGAGGAGTGAGAAGAAGATGAGAGTGTTTAATTAATATACCTTTTGCACAATGGAATTGATTGTTGATGTCTTGCGTACATTGGCCTCCTCCATAGTAACACTCATTGCAAGCTTTTGAGACTTGGAATACCAGTCTAAATCGAGCAGTTAACAGAGCATTTGTTTGGTTAACGAAAATTTTAATTGGGTACAGGGTACACTTAGCAGCAACACATTTGGGATTCTCCTGTGGAACCAAGGCTTTTTTATACACCAAACCAAATCCTTGAAAACAGAAATACCTTTTATAATTGAGCATATCATCATCAGCTGGAGAGTTGTTGCATTTATGAATGGCTTTGAATGTATTTGTTTCAAAGTGGGTGAATGTGAGAGAAGGAGAATACGGATATTGGAGGGTGAAGTTTAAATTTGAGTAATTATGGGGATCTAAGAGGCTCTGAAGCTTTGAGTCTTCAAGGGCAAGAATGGCTCTATTGGCGAAAGATTTTATTATATTCACAAACTGATACCATTCTCCCCCCATTCCCATTCCCATTCCCAACTGGAGTTTTGGAAGAGGTTTAGCATCACAATCTACCCCAATTAAACCACAATGAGGGTGGGTGTGTTGAGCAAAAGGGAACTCCAGATGACCCAAACTTCCACAGGAGAATCCCTTGGGACATGATGAATTAGATTGGAACTCATAATAATCATCTCCCTCAGCAAAGTAAAAGGCCATTAAGGAGAACAGAAAGAAGAAGAAACAAGGATTAAAAAGCAAAGCCATAGCAGATTAATTTCTTCTTCTCGATCTAACAATATAATAGAAGAAGACAATTATAGAAAAAAAAAAAAAAAAAAAAAAAAAAAAACAGCAGAAAGACTTACTTAAAAGTAAAGTTAAATGGACGACCTTGACTTCAGGTCCATTATATTGATTAGTCTATTTTACCAACGCATATTTCCACAAACAAGAAGACCGATTTGGACATATCTGTGTGCAGTGTCCTCTAAATTTTCCGATGGCTGTCATCAACTTTATTAACGGGGTTGGATCCTATGACATTCCTTCCAGGAGAGACACAGAGGTGTCAGTTGAGCACAGATAACACTTCTGTGACTCCTCGCCTCCTCTTGAGAGAAAGTTACAGGATAGAATCTCGGTAGTGGGGTATTGACTCTTTAGACTGCAATAGTCGAAAAAGTTTACAACATATACTACTTTGTAATAGAGTAAATAGTATTACCTTGTAATTGGTCTAGCCTCTGTGGTTCATGTTCAGTTGAGTTACCATGATTTACATCCTTCCAAATACTCTGTCGGGTCGAAGTGTTGAGGACCCTTAGGGTTGGGGTTCAACCTTTTGGAAAAATAGTATTAAAAAAATTATAATAGTTTGGGAACTTGGCAGGCATGTTAATTAGCATACTGTAACTGTTAAACGTTACAACGCCAATAATCTGCTGAGACCGATTCTGGCGTTACGTGGAGTTGATTTCGGATCGTGCGGTAGTGGATGATCGTGCATAAGTGCTTTGATTTATGCTTCAGTTTTAATTTCAAAACCAAGAAAATGATTAAGATACCCTAGTTCTTTCATTTTAAACCTGTACGAGTTCCCTACTCTAAAGGCAGTTACATTTTTGTTAGAAGTTGTCGAGTATAGAATATGTTCCACATCAACTTTACAAGAGATTGTAGAGTAGTACATATTTAATTTGTGATAAAACATTTACTCTCAAGCTTATTTTTATGATGGAATTACAACCTTAATTGATTTGCGTAGCGAAAATGACTATCTAATTTGAGCCGTCCAAGTGTTCCTTTACAAGTTTGACTTAATACTTGCTTAAATTATCAAGTTATAATTTTGTACTTTACAAATTTATCTAAAAGTAGAAAATTACATATTATTGTGGGTTCTAAATTCTTTATACAATTTGATTAGCTTTGTTAAAATATATAAAACACATATAATTTCTAATATTATTCAGTAAGCATTATGGATTAAGAGAATTTCTCCAAATTATATTAACATTTTTAATCTCGTATTTTAAGTTTTGCACATTAATTCCTTGTGTGCCATACAAATGAAATGGAATGGGCCAGGCTTGGTTTGTGGGTCATTGGATTGGATTTTTCTCCTTTGGTATACAAAAAAAAATTTGTAACATATTAAAATGGGTTCATTAAGATACTTCGGCGAGCCTTATTTCGTCAGCTTAAGCTAAATAAATCGTAAGTCTTTGGATAAAGTAAATGTTTTCGCCCCTACTTATACACTATGAAATCGACTTTAAGATGATCAGTCAAATCAACTGACTTGAACTAGAAAAATACAGAGTAATACATATCCTTTTAAAAAATAAAACCAAGTATAATATATTATTCTTATTAAAAATTTTCCTTATTGAAATCATTTTTCTACATACTATTTTTGTAAAATTAAAGGACTACACTCGTGCAGAGACTTTGAAATAAAGCCTGTTTTCACTATCAACAACGGTTGACTTAGTTACAGTCAAGTTGTGAACCAAAGATTTCTCCAACAATGGATGATCAACCTGTACTTCATATTCACCATGAAACAGTGACGTCACAAAGCTTCCATTAGCTGCTGTGGTGCCCACCAAACCTTCATGTCTCATTGCTTTAAGCACCCCATCAACCACATTCCCTGTTGCTAAGTTTCTGAAATTGTTATCCGTCAAACACATCCTGTAACACCCACTCGGTTTCCATGCCGACCATAATATTATACCTTGAACGGCCGGATGTGCCGAAACCTCGTTTAGAATTTGTCCCAAGTATTGTGCCTGATTAGGGCGTGGTGAAACGTCCAACTCTGTGATCCAGATGGGGAGTCTTGCATAGGAGAGTGTATCAAGTGCAGTCCTAACATAAGCCAAGTCAGGAGTATCGAAATGGGATTCCAGTCCGATTCCCAGAGGGCCGGAATATCTTTGCGACCGGAGCTGCTTGATCTTTCGAAGGTACTTGCTGGGCGAGGATGCCCCATCTTCTTTATGCTCAATGGTGTTGAAATCGTTCAAGAACGGAGTCGCCTTGCCGTCCAACTGGCGGGCCAATCGGTAGTAAATCGCCGACGCATCGGCTCCGAGCCTGCTCTCGAAGAACGAAGAGTGAAGATTCTCGTTCATAACGTCCCAGTGGATTACCTTACCCGCGTATCTTTTCAACAATGAACCAATCCTTTTAGAAGCCGCGGCTGATAATTGCTTGCGGGTTAATTTTGGGACCCAAGAAGGTTGGTAGTTTGGGTCGTCCCAGAAAATGTTGTGGCCGCGGACGGCGACGCCGCGGCCTTTGAGCAGGCGGAGTAAGGCGTTGGCGTCGGAATAGTCCTCCCGGCCCTGGGATGGCTCGGTTTGGTACCACTTCATTTCGTTCTCGAACACTGTGTATTTGAACCTTGAGAAGAACCAGTTTTGATAGGCTCGGTTGTTTAATAAATTCTTGTTGATAGCACAACCAAGTGGAAATTTTGGTCGTCCTTTGAAGAGGGAAATCGTTGCATTGGGTAATGGTTTTCCTTCACCATCCACTACTTCAATTGCCACCTTTGTCTTGCGTATCTGCACATTTTCAACCAAGTTAATGTGCATGGAAACCAGTTAAGTTGGTTCTAAGTTTAGCTCTCAACGAAAGTTCTATAGACAATCTTGATTAATTTGGATAAGGATAGAATACTTTCTTGCAAATAAAAAATGTGCATCAAGGGATATTTAGAAAGAATGACGATACTTAATTTATCAAATTAACATTTCGAAATAATATTAATAATTGAAATGACAATATTCACCCTTTAAATTACCAAAAGATTGAATTTACACTAAGAAAGTATTTTTTATTATAAGCTACAATGTAATTTTTCAGATAATTTTTACCTTCTCAACACTCTTAGCTTGATGTGATACCCATTGCTCAGGGGTGAATGCTTTTACTGATATGCTATCTGCCCATATCTCAGTTTGGGTATTATTGCACTGTGGGATCAGAAGGGGTAAAGATGAATTAAAATCTTAAAACTAAGAGTTAAACCATTCATAAAAATTAAAGAAAATTGGGTTAATTATTAATTAATATAAAAAACACACCTCAAAATGTAATTCACTAGGGCCAGAAACATTAGCAACAAAACCACCTTTAAACATGGACCAACAACCAGATCTAGCAACAACCCAAGCTGCATACACTTTGCCTGTTTCTGTTTTAAACTTGGCTGCCACATCAGCTTCACCTTCACTTAACTGTATCCAACCTACAACAAAGATATTCAACATAGAAATAATTATTTTAAAATATTATGAGAGTTTAATTATTGGCGAAATTGCATTCTTTTTGCCCTCTAGTTATACTCATAATACAAATTTAGACTTAAGTGCCAATGACAATTTTAGTCACACATCTAATAAGTCAATACCATGTGTATAATTGAAGGAACAAAAACGCAATTCTCACATAATTATATATATGCACAAGCTAGGGTGAACATTTGTACCAGAAACAATGTAGTGATTATCTTTCACCAAATCAAACTTCTGAGAAAAACCATCTCCTGCTTCTTTTCGATTGGAAGCAATGATGAAGTTGTTTCCTTTCTTGGAAACTCCCACCGTTAGGTTTACATCAATATTTCCGAAACCAAACCACCCATTCAACCCATCTCTCATCTCTGAGTTCACCATTATTCCTCCATTGTACTGAGGTTTGAGAGGATTTTCCAAACACTGTATACAAGCAACAAAACCAAGATGTTTTACTTATATAATATTAGCACAAATTAAATTGCTACCAATGATAATGTTTCAAGTGATAAAAATAGTGACACTTGGAAGTTGCCTCATTAGAGAAGCTATAGTCATAATCTTCCGCACGAACTTGAAACCCTGTAAAGTACATTACAGGTTATTACTAATTACTGAAGTTATTTAGTCTTCATTAATTATAAATAATGTAACTAGATTATAATCACCAGTAATCCAATATATGTAACAAAAGTGTGACCAAAGAAAAAGAAAAAACCTTACCTATAACAAAAATTACACATACAACCCATTGAAGCAGCTTTCCTCCTTTAAAAAGCATCATGTTTGAGAGCCCACCTACACCATTAAATTGATCAAATTCACAAAAGCCAGCCTCAACAAAAGCTAAGGTTACAAACATTTATAAATTTCATATTATGCGTGTAAAAGAGTTGTGTGCAAATGTTGGCTATACAAACCTTTAAAGGTGTTAGGGAAAGGGGTTAGAAGGAGGATAGGGGATGGAGGAAAGGGGAACCAAGGAAAAGGAGGGAAATACTGTATTTTACATAGGCTGCAAAGGCTGGCTATATAAAGTTTTGTATTATTTTCTCAAATTTTGTATATATAACCAACCTCAAGTAAAGCTAAAGTTACAAAATTTCAAATTATACATAGAAATGAGTTGAGTGTAAACTTTGGCTATACAAAATTTTAAAGAGTACGTACCTTAAGATTTTCAAAGGGTGCATAGTATAACAAAAAATATGTTCTCATGGAGCCAATATATAATGTCAGTTTTTAATTGCGATTAATCCTTCTTTAATTTGCTTTTAGTGAGCAAATTCTGAGTAAATTCAAATTTAATATTCACATACTTAATGTGTAATAATTAATTACCATGTAGTGTGATTACATCCCGATTACCTATCCAAATGGATAGTCATAGGTTTGAACCCCAGTGGTGGGAGTTTAGATTGTTTGGGCTGAAAATGTTTGAGAAAGTATAGAACAGATACTACCTTGTAAAAAATCATTAGTTTTTCAAAAAATAAAAGATATGGAGTAGAATATA